GTGATGGGGGGGGGGTCTGTTATTAAATTGACAGATTCTGTGGCTTTTCAAACATTTCTCTGCACATTGACCCTTGACAGCTCTAATAAGGAGGGAGGAAAAGGGAGAAGATGGGGGAGATAAGGAAAGTTAGAAGGATACATCCGTACGCCCCCTGATCTTGAGCCGATGGCCAGGAGCTTCTGCACGGGGTCAAAGGCCAAAGCAGTGGGTTGGTATGGAAATCCATGACGTACCGTCTGTGAGGAAACAAAAACACAACAGTTTCCTGTTAAAAAACAACAACACGAGTAACTGTGGTACTACAACGTTTACTTCAACGTTTACTTTGTACTTTGTACTTTGTACTTCTGCCAACGTTTTCTCTCTGTTTTGCTGAAGGTGGAGACACTCTGTAGTGAAAACTTCTCCCATTTACTATTTAAAACTCTTGTTGTTGAACAAGACAATTCTATTCCTCATCATTGGAGCTTCTTATTATTATCTACTATACATATATAGCGACCCCTACAGGGGAAGATTAGCTACTAGCTCTACCACTAACATGACATCATCTCTAGCTGTCTGTTAGCATAGCATAAATAACATGGGTATTTCAACTTGACGCAGCTAAATTAATTTTACAGACTTTATTGAAGGGTTATGTTTATCTATTTTATGTCCAAGATTCTGTCCCTCTGACAAACACACAGCCCTGGTACAAACCAGTGGACAGTGGGTTTAAAAACAAACAGACACTGTGACCTCTCATACACCTAAGTTCTACTGTATGAAGTAAAACAATTAATGTAGCGTCAAAACTAACGAGGTCAACCTTAGCAGATAACAAGTATTACTGATTATTGGTAAAGCGTGTGTAGCTACTGCAGCATCATCATTAAAAATGAATATAAAAAGAATCAAATTTACTGAAGTTCAGTGTCTCAGTTCCGTAACACGAGGCTGTGGTAGAAATCTACAGAGACAGGGGTTGAAAAGACAAGAGCCAGAGAGGAGAGGAGTGACTACAAGACTGGAAACAGAGGATGAAATCACTCAGAGAGAGAGAGAGGGAGAGCGAGAGAGAGAGAGAGAGCATCACGCTGCGCCCACAGGTGGAGCCAACGTGTCACCACGTGCTGTATGTACGAGCTCTGCATGTATTTGTGTCAGAAATAGCTGCTGCTGCGTGTGACTACGACGTTTGTATTAACGCCTTCTGTACGTTCACCGCTGCACCACCGTGATGCATGACATGTTTAACACCTGTTAAATTTAGAGAGCAGAGGAGTGTGTGTGTGTGTGTGTGTGTCCACAGCATATCAATAACCAATTAAATGTAGGTGACCTTGAAGTGAAGGTGTATCAGTGACATCATCATCTGATGAACAGCTGCTGCTCTGATACTGATGGAGCCTTGAATCTAAATGTGGTCTTAAAAATATAATTAAAAATATAAAAATATAAAGACCTTTTTAATTAAGGCACAAATGTACAGTTAACATCGTGTGTATATGAAGAAGGCTTCACACTAACAAACTCCCTCTTTGGGGGTCCGACCCCTACTTTTAGAACCACTGCTTTAACTGGTGTGTTCAATGAAGAGACCATTCACAGGAAGCACAAACAACAGTGACCACAAATCTACATCCATCCATCCATCCACCCATTCCCTAATCCATCCATCCATCATCCATCCATCCATCCATCCATCCGTACATCCATCCATTCATACGTACATCTGTAGTAACTTATCGTTTGAGAAAACACAAAAATAAGTAAATGTGGTAACAAATACACAAACAGTACTCCTTCATTGTGTATTGGTACTGTGGAAGTATCTGTGATGTCATCCGTGCACTGACCTGCCACAGGGACATGTATTCTGGCTGCCAGAGGCTGCATTACATCAACCTGCCCCCCATACCCCCCCACACCCCCCCTTCTGTTTGTCCGTGCTGCCCTCTTCCCCTCGCACACGTGCACTCTCCGTGCACAGCTCCACGATGGCCGACCAGATAATCCACAGACAGCCATGCAGAGACAACACCACCTCGTGTCACACCCTCCCTCACTCTCTGCCCCCCCCAGCCCCCCAGCCTTCAGTGGGAGAACCATACAGCCTCCTGCGTCTAAAAATAGCAGCAGCATGATTTACCATTTGCACAGAACTGAACTATATCATCAGATCAACTGTTCATGTGAGTGAATCTTCAAATCAGAGCTGGTTTTTCAGACATGAACTCATCGAACGTTGACGTCAAGTGTTGGGTTTGTTTTTACAGCTGTGACAGAAAGATAAAAACGGATTTTCTTTATGGACGACACACGTTTTAAAGACCAAAACATTAAGATGAGACTGAGTTTTTCTACCATTTTCTACACTGTATGGATCAGGTGATTAATGGAGCGATGAGGAAAAAAAAGAGCTGAATGTAAAACTACTGTTAACTAGAGAGAAAAGCACCAAACAATGGAAGGAAATACTGTATAAACCAATCACTTCACTGTAATATGAAGTGTAACTATAAGGGTTTATCTTTAGAGAGTAAACGTCACACCTTAGTAGTCAAAGTTATACTGACGGACTGACAGTGGAGTAACATAACTGACAATAAACCTGTAATTTATATGGAGCGTAATATTTTGCTGAAATGTAGAAGCAACTGTAGTACCAACACTCACCCCCAGGGACTGATTAAATAAGGAGTGCTAACTGTAACAACGGTACCGTCATCAAACTACGGCTGATCTAGATCTGGAAATATTAGACTGACGTTCGTTTCTCCAGAACAAAAAGATCCAGGATGGAGAACCACGGCTTGACGTTCCATGATGAAACAGGAACCGCTGATTGAACGCTGCCTGAGGGAATCTGAACGGCACACGGTGGTGCACGACTGCCGAGGTTTAGTTTCTACTGAGACACGTGAGCGGCGTGCCTGGCTGGTTCTCACGTACATTCATATATGCACAGATTCAGAGAAAAGGCTGTTCAGACATTCAGAGCGAGAATAAACGGAGGACAGAGACGACACTAGTGATGTTCAGCTCTGAGCGAGCGCCGTGACAGTTATTAAATGACGCATAACGAGACAGATATATGTGGAGAAGAGAAACAAAGAGGAAACAGAGTCGACAGAGAAACAATTCATCAGGTGACACTTTGGTGACAGATTAAAATTTAAATTAAAGTCTTCGTAACAGTGTTGTATTTAATCTGCTGTTTGTTAAGAGTCGTGTCTGATTCTAATGTATTCATCATTTAAAGTCAACAGGTGAGGATGATGATGATGAAGCAGCTCCTTCTCACTGCAGTAGAGTGGATACACAACTCAACTGATGCTGAATTCAACTGCTGCTGATTAAATGTGAAGTCTTTTAGACATAGACAAGGAGGAGGAAGAACAAACGGAAGATGAAGAAGAAGAAGAAGAAGAAGAAGGAGGAGGAGCTTCATCTTCTCCAAGTGCATTTGAATACATGTTTAAACTTATCAGTTATCATTTTTTCCCCTTGATTTTTAAATCTGTTCATCTGTAAATTTAAATGTACTGATCGTATATGGTGACAGACCTGAGACCAGTGTGAACTGTGGGTTTATTTCCAGCCCAGTTAGTTCTAGCCCAAGTATAAATCAATATAAAAGTAACCAAAATATTTTTCTTACAGTAAAACCACATAATGTTGTCTAAATTTTATTATAAATTAGTAATTTAAATCAAACATTACATCTAACTGTTCAATAACGATCCTGGTTCAACACAACCCGTGTGTGTGATTGACATTCAAATATTAAACGGCAGCGTTTCAGTGTTGCCATGACAACACCAAGGACAACTGGACCATGAGTCAACCAGCTGTCCACAGCTGGTCTAAGGATTTGACTGACGTACTTTATTCTACAGGGCAGTTGATCAGGGAGGAGAGCAGAGAAAACTCAGAGATCCAACTGTAAAAGTGGACTCAACATTAAACGTCCTAAATATTGTCACATGGACAGATTCACTGGCAGACAGTGCTGTATTTTTAGAACGGTGAGAGGAGACAAGGCTGCACAAAGTTGACTGAACTGAACCAAAACCACGGAGCTCCTGAGTTTCATTATGTCGTCTTTAAATATTCAGTTTTCACAGCACAGCAAGCAAATAAAGTTCAGGGTAGAGGTCAGTGGACGGTTCCTGTGGGAGGGAACAACACAGCATTAAAACAGTCTGTCTGCTGTAAATCTGTGGGAGATGCTGATACGACATACAGAGAAGACAAACACCTGACACTGGGACAGGAAAACAAAGTGATAGGAGTGAGAAGAACAACTGCAGATGAAAGTTTCCCCTCTGTTCAAGCAGCTTCATTAACTTCATCAAGTCGTGGGAAATAGAAACGTAAATATAACGCCCGTGTTGTTTCATTCACGGGGGAAACTGTTTCACATCTAAATGAACCTGAAACTGAAGTTTTGGCAAAAACACAGGCTGTTTTACATTTCCATAAATAAATAACAATAACATGTGATAAATATCACTGTTTCAATTAGTTTGTTTTTAAAAAAGTGAGTGACTGTTTAACACGGTGACTACCAGAGTTACAGATTCATTACCAAGTCAGTTACCAAGGCCTGTGCAGAGTGAAGTTGTTCAGCGTACTGAAGGTTAAGGTTCAAGACAGAGGGACAGACGGTCAGTGTGGGGTCAGTCTGCTACGTCGGATGTCGTCCTCGGGGTCAGTGTTGGGTCAGTGTGGGGTCAGTCTGCTATGTCGGATGTCGTCCATGGTGTTTTGTTATCTTTCCTACGGCGTACGACCATCTTTTATAAAGATGTGAAGATAACCAATCAGACAGGAGCACTGTCTGATTCTACTGTCTCAGTAGAAGAAGAAATAAATGAATATGACAGGTAACCCATAAAATAAACATATTTTTAAAAAAATACAAATAAAACGTGTAAATTATTATTATATCATTAATATTTAAACAGAAAAATAACTGTCACTTTGTTTTTAAGAATTATTTGTGGTAAATAATTTTTATGATGTGTCAATGATAAAAACACATATTTTACAAATATGTTTTAAATTTCAAACACCTGTGTGCTTTCCTTGGACACAGTGTGAGACACAAATGAGCTAAGGTTCGTCAGCTGCACCGAGAGGCTCTTCAGAACAAATTAATGCAGCGACGTCTCAGAAACACGCGGGGAGGAGGGAGTTCCACGTGGAGTGTTTTCAATAATGATGTTTCGTCTCAGCAGTCATAACTGTGTGTCTCTGAAACATTTTCACATATTTCTACCTGCCACAGTGGCTGCAAAAAGCTGTTAATATAAAAATATGAACGCCTACAACCGACGCTTCGTTAGCGACGACGCATGCGCGCTCCCCCCTAGCTTGTCTAAATGTGTACATTTCCGGTAGAAATGCAAACAAATATAAACCGATAAGTTACGTTTTGCAGGAAAAACCGAAGAATTTTCACTTACACGTCGCCGTTTTCTCCCGTTAATGTGTCTTTGTAAACCCGGTCAACAGCGGATAAAACAGAAACATTTGAGTCCTGACGTTCTTTATTTAATTACGTCGCAGGACACGTCATGACGTAGAGCACAGGAACTTTCTCGTCGTTTTCTTGTGCCATTTCCAGGGACGAACAGGAAGTGACGTCTCTCCCCTGGATCGTACTGACATGTGTTGTTTATTGCACTTTTTTGATAACATAGTCTTAATATACGAAACATTTTATACTTATAAAGTATTTAGAAACGCAATTAGCTGCTTTTTTTTAAAAGTTTCTATGGACATCTCACTGGTTTGTTTGTTTTTGTGAGTCACATTTGCAGTGTAACTTGGTGGTAGATGCTACGACAAAAAGTAAGTCTGAAGTGAGAAAAAACTTTTATGGAGTCGAGTCAGACCGTCACCTACAGACCATCACCTACAGACCGTCACCTACAGACCACCCAGAGAAGATGACTGTGTTAGAAAGATGTTTGCAGTGACAGTTGCTGCCGACACAGTAGACCAAACAGCGTTCACTGATCGTCTCTCCTCTCCCTCTTCGTTTCCCTCGTGACACGGACTCCTCCCTAATTGATCCCACACTGTGGCTTCTGACAGGCAGCCGACACATGGAAATGTGAGACTAGCTGGAAGTGAACCCACTGAGTCATCACACCCGTGGAGAGACCATGGGCTGCAGAGAGAGAGGGAGGTGATGTCATCTTCTACAGCCCATGTACGGCACCGTCAGAGGAAAGAAACCAGAGGGAGGGGGGGCCCAAAGCCCCGACCTCTGACCCTTGGAGGGTTTCTGAGTTTTGATGGAAAGTTTGTGTTTTGGCTAGAAAAGTTGTTTGAATTTTTCATAAAATTTCACTCTCCAGAGGAGTTGGTTAACTCTATAAAGCAGGGGTCACCTGGGGTCAGAAGGTCAAAATTTAAATTGAACTGATGCCTTGGCGGCTGAACACTTTTTTTTGGGGGAGGGTTTATTGTTGTTGTTTTTTTAATTGAGTCGTGGGCGAGAATGGACATTGGACAAGGTCTAATGATGCATTATGGGTAACACCCGCATATTGAGTGTGTGTAAATTATTCAGGACTTGTGCAGTTGCTTTTGCTAAAAACTCATTTGTTAAAATGTTAAAATTTTAAGATGACTTCATGTCAAAAGCAAAGAATCTTTCAAGCATTTGCTGGTGTGCACAGATCTGTCAGGTATATTTATACTATGACAGTATTATATTTATACTGTACTTTGAAGAGTGACTTTTTGTGTGTATTTTCCATGTCAGTGAACAGCTGCTCGTTCAACCATCAAGTCTGTGCAGGGATGTTTACACACTGTAACAGAGTTCTTCTTAATGAGTCAACGATTTGTCACTGACCAGAAGAATCAACATAAGGTTCTGAAGTGGATTCATGCTCTAAAGAGTGATGACGAGGACGGACCCAGCTGCTGTTGACGGGACATGATGTTCTCCTTGATTAACAAATGAATCGTCCCGGGAACCACGGCGTGATCGTTCTGAACAACAGGAATCAGGTCGTGGTGAAGGAAACAGAACAAATGAATCGTCCCGGGAACCACGGTTGGTTGTTCTCAACAACCACCAGCTGGTTGTTCTCACACATCAGCACGAACCTCTTACTGTTGTAATTCAATGAATGAATGAGTTAATTGATTGTTAATGTTAATGAAATGTACGATCTAAAAGTAGACTCATCGTGGGGACACTCTCTGTTTTCACACCTCTTCACTGAGCCTTTGTGTTACTGCAGGAGCAGAACATTAAAAAGAGAAGTCAAGAAGTTGGCCAAGACGCCGCCCACGCACTCAGCAGCCTCTCAGTTCACATTCCTAATAATGGGTTAAATATAAAATAATAGCTGTAATAAAACCCCATTATATTCACCCATTTACACACACACACACACACACACACATATGATAATAGGACTCAGAATATGCTGTGACACAACCCGTTCATTCATTGCTTTTCATTCACTTTCATGTCTTTAAACACAGCACAGCCTTTCGGTCTAATGAGGTGCAGCTTCCTGTTCGGGACCAGGCGCTCGCTGTGTTCTTTTCCAGCACTTTCTGCCCGCCTGTCTGCCTGGGGAGCGCTGCAGCATTCTTTTTTAGCTTGTGAATCAACATCCTTCCTCACAGAGATCATCCACACGGCCACGCTCAACCCTCCAATGACAAACAGCCCTGATTACAGCCCAGTTTCTCTTGGGTTCTTCATAAATAATTAACAGCCAAATCCAAAAATGAACCCAGTTCCCTTAAGTGTGAACACCACAGCCAGCTTCAACATGCATCTCGAGAAAAAAAAAAGGGCTGCAATAGATGGCAGAGGCTGCTATAAATACTCCCACCACTCTCTCACCACTCTCCACCCCCACCCATCCACAGACTCTCCCTCCTTCTCAGAGAACAGCACAGCAGCTAGGACAGCACTGCAGCCTCCGACCGTTGGCTCGATGAGCACTTCTTAATTCAAGGGAGGGACAGGAGTTATGTCACCACTACTCCACCGTTTATGTGGCTCCTCTGCTGCTGCACCGAGGAGGCTGAGCTTCATCGACTTCCTCTGGGTTGTTTGAATCACATGTTCTCAGGCTGCCGCAGCTAACACGGTGTGTGCTGATGACACGGCATATACACAGCGCTGTAGCTGTGAGGCACATACTTGTACAGGCTGGAGTATGGATACTACACACACACACACACACACACACCTGCTTCACCAGCTGTGCACACATGTCCACGGGGTGAAGCTCTGTGTAGAGGCAGAGTCAACACACAACAAGTCACACAAGCTGAAGGAACGCGATCAGTTCATGCGGACGATATTGGTTCAGTTTGATGATCGTCTACAGGGAGGCCAGATGAGAGGAGCTGTCCGCGGTGCTGAACTTTCATCACTAACCCAGAATTAGCAGGCCGGCAGATCTAGCGCAGTTGTTGAACTGGCTGCATATTCAACTTTTACGACATGCATTATTTATCCGTACACACACACACACACACAATCGTCACTTTATTTCTCCGAGCGAAATTAAAATCAGACTCAGAAAAGTCCCGCTGCTCCTCTTACTGCTCCTTTTGTTTGTTTGTTTGTTTGTTTGTTTGTTCTTGTACCCACCTTACACATCTGAAAGTTTTCCGACACCAGCGTCTCCTGGACGTCGATTTCCCTGGGAGTTGGCGCTGCGGTGGGAGTACCTGCTGCGCTGCCGCACGATGGGGATCCGATGGTACCTCCGGGGGAGGAGGTGGTCAGACCGTCCAAAACCTTCCGAAACTTCTTCATCTTCTGCCCAGCCTTCTGTAAAGGACACTCGGGATGGAGAGGGTCGAAGAGCACTCTGATTTCTTTGTTTTCCCTGAGTTCCTCTCTCTCCTCTCTGATGCGGGAAGTCAATTCGATTAGGCGACTATAAAGAAGGAAAGCGTGGCTTTTCCGCAGCGGGCAGAGAGTAGCCTCTGTCTTTCACTCTTAGGTGCAATTTAGAAAGTCACAGCGGTGCCTCATCTTGCTCTACGGCTGTTGTCTGCAACAAGGAATGCGTCTGATCTTAGGATTATAGCCAATGTTGCGGCTGCAGGTAACCTATCTCATCTCTGAGCATGCACCAGCCACGGAGATCATTCAACTTCATCTTCCTCCTGGAGACTGAAGTCGCCTCACATCCACATCTGGGTTTTGAGAAAAATCCCACACCTTAACATCGTTCGGGACCAAAGCAGAGGTCTCAGGTCGGAATGAACGGATTCACGGGGGAAAAAAAGAACATTTGAAAAGAAAAGAAAAAACCGAAAATATTAGAGAGAAGAATCTATCCACTCCACTGTTCCAAAAAAGTATTTTCACTGCACCGCTGTTGGCAGAAGCAGGATGAGGAGGAGGGGGAACAGACAGGGGGCGCGTATGCAATGCAGTCCACACTCAGGCCGGAAAAACACGGAGACACTTCGAGCAGTGAGAAACAAAAAGAAGATTGAGACGAAGAGAAGAGCCGGGGGGGTTCAGAGTGAGGGGTGAGGCTGTGAACGGGGGGCGGGGAGGGTCAGCTGTTTGACTCCAGATGTGTTTCCTCCCTGCAGTCCACAGACAGGAGACCGTAGCTGTCCGTGGTGCTGAAAAATCATCACCAGTCAGCGCCGCCTCCAGCCCCCCAGCACAGCCCCCTCTCCCCGCCCTCACTCGACAATCATTGGGTGAAAAGGCTGAGGAGGAAAGTGAAGTAGTATTTCATTTTTAAAACATCGTCCACGGGTTTTTTTTCACCCTGAAACCCACGGCAGCACCGTCACACGCCCTGAGTGCCGGAGTCAAGGCCTCGATACTCGGTGAACAAACAGCTGTCGTTGGTCCTCGGTTGACACTGGAGCAGGGTTGTCCAACCTGTGGCTCCTTCAGCCCCTGTTCATGTAAGATCACACTTATATTTGTAATTGGACCGAATTCACTTCATCTGTGCTTTTCAAACAAACAAATACTACTATTATTATACTATATATTAGTATTAGTAGTACTACAGTACTAATCCAAGCTGCCCATATACTCATTAGATAACAGTACATACATATATACTTATATATCTATATACATATAATTCTTTCCTATGATAAAAAATAATGTCGACACAAATGGAACCTCGGCCCAAATGGACTTTTGTTTGTTTTGTGTAGATTTTCTACAACCAAAACAACACCAGTGCGGTTCTTGAAACGTCGTGTTATTATCGCTGGTTTCAGACATTTCATACTTTGTAAGTAGTTCTTCACAATACATTAGTGGATTTTGTATGTTTTAGTCCATTAACTGACAAGAAAATATACTTTATGTGACCACAAACCATGGTAAGTGTTCAAATTGGTCCCCCCCCCCCCCGTCAGGCAGCGACTGCTGCAGCAACAACGTGGTCCTGATGGAGGAGAACCGTCTCCATGTGCTGCGTCATCCTGTTTATTCATTAAGTTATTGTTGAATTTGATTCATTTGGACCTGGACTGATCACGGTGGACAAATCTGGAACTGCATCAACACTGAAGCTAGGAAAGAAAAAAAAGATTGAAATTTAAATGAATTAAACAAGTAGATCAATTATATTTAATGATTGTTTTGATGAATCATAGTTTTTAGACACACTTTGACTTCAGTAACAATGATAATGATAATACAGTAGAGTATTACAGTATTACAGTATGTTATACCACAGTACAGTATCATACACAGTAGAGTACTATACTGTACTGCACTGAACTGTAATACACTACAGTAAACCCTGCCACTGTATGTGATACTGCACAGTACTATGGTATTCCAAACAATACTGTGCTATACTACAGTACAATACACTGTTATTCATATATAGCACAATATAGTGAAGTAAAAGTGATTGAACCACTTACATTTTTGCTGTCAGGCCACTGCACCGTCCACACCTCCACCGTGTGGCCCAGGGAGTTAATTAAAATAATAATAATAATAAAGTGTCAAATGTACTGCATTTAAACCAGATTATTTTTGAAAACATGAAAATTTCATTTTGGCCTGAACTGGTTTTAATGACCTCCACATCGACGTGGCCTCGTCCTCGGCCTTAAATAAGCCGATTAACAGCGTCCTGGACCACAGACTAATTACTGACTAACTCTGGCCTGATTAAAACCACCGGCTGATTTGATACAAGTCCACTCAGGTAGAAATTAGGAGCAAAGTGAAGGCACAAAAAGTTCTTTAATCAATTTCCAATTAAGAATTAATTCCCCCCCCCCACCGTGCCTCTCTCCCTCCACCGTGCCTCTCTCCCTCCCCTCTCTTTATGTGACTATTATTTAATTGACACAGGTGCAGGAAGACAGGGCTAAAAGGACAGGCTCTTAATTCCTTCATTATTGAGTCGACAGAAATCTGAGCCACAGTTCAGATTAACAACAACACGCATTTGTATCAATCAAATATAATCAAAGCATCGGAGACGCTTCATGACCTGAACATTCTCATCACAGAGACCAGGACCCAACAGCTAACAATAAGTCACCAAACACACACACACACAGAACCAACCGTGGTTATTGATCACCACTCGCCTCAAAGCTATTTGTTCAGCTCAGACCGCAGCATCAGAGCGACGGCTGACGACAAAGCCTTGTCTTTATGACTTGTAGTTTCAAGCGTTCATACATTCAACTGGTCACATGACTTACAGCACAGAGCTTTTACTGCAGCCACGTCCAACCAAACGGCTTCAGAACATTTACCAAATATTAACGGTGGCTCGAGGACAAACTCCTGTCTCACAGACTGAGTCCTGTCAGTACTAATGAATTTCTGAAGGACAAAAACAGCAGGTAGATGTCACTGTTTCTCACCTGTTTCTGTTTGTGATTAATCCAAATAATGGGATTATTAACACAGAACATTTTCCACAGAGTCCTGGTGTATTTTAGTCATTACTGTTCATCTTGTGTCCTCTTGTCCTATTTGACTGTTCTGTCAGTCACACTGTCAGTCGGTCTGTCAGTCGTAGGCCTACTGACTGTCCTGACCTCAGTCAGGCTGGTCTGACACAAACTGGGCCACTGACCTGAGGTTGAATCCTCAACAAACAGAATCTTAGAGTTGATGATGGTATTTTAAGATTCGGTGAAACAAAAACGCGTGGCTCGGATTACTGTGACGTCATCAACAACCACAGACAGACCAGATCAGGGTCACGGTGAGGAGTGAGGCTCAGACCTTTGTACATTCAAATATTACTCATATCCTGTGTTTCCCGAACACCAACCGACGGAGTGAGTGGGTTGTGACGTGGTTGTTGAATCACCGACGGCAACAGTTGTGTATCACTGCGCTCCAGCGATTTGGTGCGACAGCCTGAAACCCCGTGTTTCTAACGTGGCCGTACCTCAGAGACCGCTGAGTCACGTGACAACGAATACGAGCCACTTTCAGTTCGCCGGGAGACGACGCTGAGGCGTTTGTTGTTGTTTTCACAGAAACACGTCCCACTGTTGGAAAACCACTGACATAACGAGGGGATGACGTCAACCACGCAGACTTCTGGGACTTTTCCCAGAGGAACTTGGGGGCGTGGGGAATCGGAGGGGGCGTGAAGTGAGGTGTGAAGCCACGGGGACGTCGAACGTGGAAGTGAAGAAAAACAATTTCCTAAGAAATAAAACATGACGTAACGTTGCTTTCCTTGTACATTCAGTTTTAGAATTAAATTATGGGATGGCAACACTGCTACGGAAAAAGGAAATAAAAACGAAACAATAAAAGTCAAGTCACTTTATACTTTTAGCCCTATTTTTAAAATAGGAATTCAAATGTATTTACCCCCAAAACCCCGTGTAACAAGAGAGGGAAAAAATTACATAAAAATAATTTTAAATAGTTTTTAAATTATTTTTTTATTGTTGTATTATAATTCGTACTATTAAATATGATAAAATTATCTATAGTAATATAGAATAATTATTTTGATTTTATAATTATAATTGATATAATTATTAATTATAAACAACAACAAACATGTTTTGTTAACATCAGTATAAAGTCAGTCTCATTAGCAGAAGAGGAGTCTTTGATCCTTGTGGACACAGGGCGCAAATACATATGCCATTTACTTTATTCCAACAACGAACTTAAAGCCGGAGCTAATTTTCCAGGGAAACTCTGCACCGACTGTACCATTAGTTTTGACAAGCAGAGCAAATGAGCAGAAGTAAAAAATCACTCTGAAGCTAATCAGCCATGAGAGGACGCCGGGGTAGAGCCCCGACCCTGACAGAGAAACAAACCATCAAAGGTCAATAGTCCACGCCAATCAATTCTCATTGGTCTGTTGGCTTGAAGGAGGAGCAGCTATGATTCATGTGTTCATCGATCTTGTCCTCCACATTCCTAAGACGACCTGTGTGTGTGTGCAACAAAACCTAACACATTAATTTGGCAAAAAAAAAAAACGCCACTAAATACTGTAGTACGGCAGCATAAGGTCAGGGAGTACAGTCAATACCTGCCAAAATAAGTGACAACATCTAATACTACACTGTTTGTAAACACACAGATTCTAATTTCATTTACATTTGTTTCTCACTATGCTCATAATATCATTCCAAGTAAAAGCCAACATGACTTGGTTTCTCACTGGATGCTGCACTTGTTAAACCCAGTGTTTACTCTGAGGCTGATGAATATAAAGCAGTACTACAACCAGTACAACCGGAACAGAATTCCAACACAAACAAAGCAACTGACAGACTGAAGACAAAAAGTCAGAGACCGGCTGATGAATATAAAGCAGTACTACAATCAGTACAACCGGAACAGAATACCAACACAAACAAAGCAACTGCTCATCTCTACGGATTCCTCTGGTACCATTAGTGGCACCTGTACCACGGTTTAAGAACCACTGTAAAGTGAAGGACATTTCAACTTACACTCAGTGGACTTTTCTGGTTCAGACCTTACACTTGAAGACAAACTAAATCAGTTCTAAACCTGGAGATCAGCTTCCTCTCAGCTCTGGCCGCCGCCGGTGATGAAAGCGAACGGCCCAGGTTGAACGACAGACGGATGAACTGAGTCGATCATTAGGACATTAATCTTGGGCCTTTATTGGACGAGGAGTGACAGAGACACATCCAATCAATCAGACCTCTCCTGGTCCGTCATGACATGCTGCCCCCGTCAGTCTCTGCCCACCCACACACTCCTACAGTAAATAAACAACAACCATGAATCATTCCTTGTCCTTTAACAAACACATTATGGTTTATGTTTGAACATTTGAGTCAAACATAGACGCTGTGAGACAAAGAGACGGACGGACATCACAGACCTCACAGTAACGTATTCAAACTCAGGATAAATTAATGAGCAATAAGCACATCAGGCCACACCTTTATTCCCCACTGGGTGGCGTTCATCCTGCCTGTAGCCCAGCCTAGCGTCACACTCTTGCCTTGGCAGATCAATGGAACAGCGTGAGGTGAGCTTTTTAATTGAGCCGTCCTGAAGAGGGGAGGTTGTTTTAATGAGGCCAGGTCCTGTTTTTACCCTGACCTTTAAGACTCTGCCCTACAGGTGTCCATCCTCCAACTTGAAAGATATGTAAGGGCTTGTCAGGCTACCTGAGAGGTGACATTTGAACCTCCATTCAATACTCCAGAGTACAAATGAAGTGTCACGTACGAAACAAGAAATCCAGCAAATCAGTCACTTTGGTCCAGAGTCTGTGGTGACCCTTTTAGCTGATGACACCGGTCCATTTATTGATAGTTGCAGCCTTTGTAATCTATACCTTCTATTAGGGTTGACAAGATGCTATTTTATTTTTCAAAGCAGTACAAATATTAACTACAACTAGAGGGAGCCCAAGTAACACCTGAGGTACACGGGGCCACAACTTGAAAACTGCACCTCATGGGGGCAGTGTGGAGTGTCACCAATCATATTTGCCAGGTCAGCACTCAAGTGTTTTCCTGCTGCAGCTGGTCAGAAACATCTGGACGCAGCAGCATTTGTCCACTTTTCATCACTGTGCTGCTGTGATTCTAAAGGCTTCTCACATTTACTGCGTTTTCAAACAAATGGTCGTTTCATCAATTTCTATTGGATTGAACTGAGTAACAGATGGTACAATATAACAGGACGATACTTGGAGTTAAAACTGTTGAATATTAAAATGCTAATAAATCAATGTTGTTTAAAAAAAAAAAAAAAAATTTAATCCAAAGTAAGTACAACCAAAACGACTGAACTGTTTCTGTTTCCAGAGCACTGATTTGCTCTTTTCCCCTCATACATCATCTGATAAACAGACCATAATGGGATGAAGGACATGTACCTTTCAGGTATTCTGGAATAACAACACTAAAGTATGCATGTACTGCAGTATTTAGAACAACAGACATGAAGGGAAAGACCCATTTATTTTTTCCATTATTCTGTAAAGTTTGTGAGCTGATGTTTGTTTCTGTCAAAGCAGCAGAGAGATGATGAACTGATGAGAAGGACAGAGGAGCAGAGCATCATGTGAATGAGAAGGACGGTCCTTTGACCTCTGTTCAGTTTGGTAACTTCAAAAAATACTGGAGGGACATAGAAAATACAGGTGTCTGTTAGGCAACACTGTGGAAGGACATCTTTAGTCTAATGCAGGTGTGAACTGGTCAATACTTGTTCAGCAGCAGCAGCAGCAGCAGCTCGTGTCCCTCTGGTTTCCTCTGGTTTCCTCTGGTTTCCTCTGGTTTCCCTGCTCCAGTCAGGACGTGCTGCACGTGCTCAGAAGTACATATCCTGGAAGAGGTTCCGGCCCATTTCGATGTACGCCTCCTTCTCCTGTGCGGACATCTGCTCCACCAGCTCCGGCCTTTGGCTCACCTCTCGGTACGAGAAGGACCGGCCCCCCACCATCACTACTGGCTCATCACCAACCTCCTCGAACTCGTCGTCGTCATCCTCCTCTTCCTCCACGCGGTGCTGAGTGGGCTTCGGGGGCGGAGGGCCTGAGGGAAGGTCGTCGTCCGACTCGCTGGTGTCGCTCTCCGAGTCGCTGGCGTTGGCAGTAGAGGTGACGAGTCCCTTGGCCGCGGCGTGTGCCGCTCCTCCACCTGCTCCTGCCGCGGCACCTCTCTTCTCATGGATGAGCAGGGCTCGCATGACCTCCTCGTTTTCATCCGCCTGACCCATCCTGAGTCCTGCTGCTCCGTCGAGGCTTTCAGAAACGTCTCCACCTGACCAGACAAAAATAGAAATAACCAACTTTAACAGTTATAGTTTCAGGCTTTTATACATTTTCAATCACACTGAGACATTTTTCACATGGACTATAACAATTACCTCAATCCTTAAGAAATCTGTCGTAAAAAAAAAAAAAAACCAACAATAAAAACACTAAGATCGACTGCAGTGGAAGAACGTTTACAGCCGTGTGGAACCAAACAGCTACTGAACACTTACGGAATATTAACAGCTGGCACAGGAATAAACCTGTACCAAACAGCTACTGAACACTTACGGAACATTAACAGCTGGCACAGACTCATCTCTGTTAACATGAAAAGAAAATCCCTGAAGTTAAAAAAAAAAAGTAGAAACACAAGTACAGAGAGAAAAAAGAAGTCATGGTTAACATCCCTAATACAACTGAAAATATATTTCTGAATTTTACTGGAACAGAAATACAAATAACTGCAAGTAGATGTCTGGGTTTCTAGTCGGTATGAACAAAAATATCAAATGTAAATATTTCAATATTTTGTCTCACGATCTCGTATCGATATTCTACAAAAATAAAATTCAAAAACCTCACCTAGAAAAAGGAACTGTTTTACATTTCTATAATAATTTGAACTGATTATTATTTATTGCTTTCCGAGTCGTACTCTTACCAGTGGTTCTGGTTTTTAAGAAGCGGTTTGCTGTTCAAATAGAGTGCAGCCGTGTTTAGTCGGTCAAACATGTTGGTTTGAGATAGGTTGGAAGTAAAAGCCCACTGTGACAGTGGGAGATAACCTGGGCTGACCTGCAGTTGGCTGTTTCAACAACAAAGACTGCTGGGATTGAAATGAAAGGTCAGAGAAGACCAACCACAGATGTGGAGTCCCACTCTGGACCGAGAAAAACAAAAAACAAATGTTAGCTTAGCCAACACCCCTGTTGACAGAAAACCTCTGAGAAACCCTGGTGGCAGCCATATTTGAAGACCAACTGTACTTCAATGACTGAAGAATGACGTTAGTTTTTTCTTTTTTTATCTCTGATATGATGTCGTGGTTAAAATATAATCAAAGCCTCTGAGTTCCTCACGTGTTCATGGAGGTAGTCATCAGATCAATCTCAACATGACGATAATCACATTGACCCCAGTCCTATCAAAACGTAAGCAGGTGACAACTTACGATTCTTGAGGACGTCAGGCTCGCTGTAAGCCCCTTGGACGGTGCTCTGGGTCATCCAGACTGGCCGCTCCTTTGGAGCCTTGCCATCACTGGCATGTTTCTGTTGGTGCTCCTGCTCGTCCATGCTGATGACCACGTTCTGCGTGTACAGGTCAGCGTAGGCGGAACCTTTTGTAGACCACGCTTCACGGTGTGGGCCTGCGGCATTGGCTGAAGACGCTGCGGCTCGTTCCCGGCTGAAGGACAGACAACATCCAGACACGGCATTTAGACACAAGACTATGAAGAGACGCAACACCGCCGTGATCAGCCCCACTCCCCACAAAACACCTCTCTTTGAGGGCGGGGATTTCAGCTGGCTCAGGTTCCAGCAGGTCGTGTGACAAGTTGACGTCCTCAGTCTCACGCAGCAACACGTAGATCGGTTCAATCTGCTCATTGAAGCGTGCCACTAGTGTCCTTGCGTCGGGGCACACAGACTCATCTTCTTCTACTTCGGTCTGACAGAAGGTGCAGTGAAACGTACCTGTAGACGGAGACAGGAAATTCATAGAGGCCACGGAAAACATTTATATTTTTAAAGGAATTCATTGACACTGGCACAGGTTAAACTCAGCAGACTTGACAATAACAATGTACAAGTGCACGATGCATTCAGTGTCCTCGTGTTCCAAAGGTTCAAACCCTGACAAATGTGACTGGTAAACACACAGAAACCATGGCGTCTGTAACTGAGGAGGGAACACAAACGGAACAGACTGTGGTTCTCCATGACAACAAATGAGAGCAGCAATCTGGAGAAGTCCTGGCTGTTGATGATAAGTAACAGACGTCTCCACGACAGCCTTAAAGCAAGAGCACCCCCTTGAGGATGATCATTTAGCATGCCGCTATTGCATTGTCCAAGTTAGAAAGAAATAAAATAAAGGATAGAAAATGTCAAGCTTCTTATTTACCATAAACAGCCCTGCGTGCTATTTCAATTTCTTCCTACAGGGGGAAAATAAACAGCCCTGCGTGCTATTTCAATTTTTTCCTACAGGGGGAAAATGAGTATTATAATAATAATAATAATAATGATGTGATTATCTTTTCTCATGTCTTATTGGCTCTGGTGAATAACAAGTCTGATAATCACAGTTTGAGCTAAACATTATTTACGTTACAGCAAGATCTTTAAAAAGGTGATTATTTTATAGACAAGCTGAAAAATTAAACATGCATAAAAATTCAGAAAAAGATTTGTATATGAAAACTGCTCCGTGCAGGAAGAAACATTCATATTAACTAGCTGTCTGTTTTGGCGTTACCATTTGGGACATAATAAATAATCCTCTTGATACTGCGGTTATAAAAGTTATCTACAGCAAAACATTCCAAATATTTAGAATGAATAATGTGTGTTTTTTAAACATTATAATAATAGTAGTAACAGATCAAATTATATTTATTCAAATGTTTTCCACGTTGACTTGTGAGGTTTGCTGCAGTTTTTCAGCAGTACATATTTATACAGCCTCCTGATCTGACATGCAAATAAAGAAAATATGAATTTTCATCATATTTTAAACACCACACAACCCACTGGGTATCCTAGCAACAGTGCTGTGTGATGGGGTGGTGAGAGCACAGTGCCTCATCCTGACAGACTCAAGAATGAATGCAGTTTGTGAATGAACAAAGTTCAACTTTCAGCACAAGTCAAAGACGACATGAAGCTCATCAACTTCAACTGTCAGAGCAGTATTTATAAATCATATCATAGGAGACTGTCTGCCTTGATCTTCATTTATCTCGATGCAGTCTTTTTATTGTATCAGTATGATTGTATTTTTTTTAGTTTTAACTCTTAAAAAACAGAAATCTTTAAACACAGATTCACATTTGTCCAGGTCACAGACCCCCAAATACAAAGGTACAATCTTTTTCTGCAGTATATATACACTGTATAATAGTATAATAAATCACGTATTTGCATCAAAACTCCACTAATCTTTATTTAAAAATACTGTAATTTCTTCAAATTTACTGGATGGAGGAAATAAAATATAAATCATGTGATGTGATCAACTGTAGTGATGCAAAAAGGAAGAGTGAAAAAAAAACCCCAAAATAAAGATGCAAAAAGGAAGAGTGAAAAAAAAAACCCAAAATAAATAATAAAAATAAAAAACACTGGATATACTGTAGCTGCAACTGATACAAAGGAAATGAACAGATGAACCACAATGAGCCTGACGATAATCACCTCCTATTTTCTGCTAATACACAGTCAAAATGCCAACAACCCTGAACATCTTGTGTCTGACTCTGACCAATGCTTTGCCAACGCAGTATTATATACAGGACTATCAGAATCCTGCAGCTTAGTTATTACATTTAGGCTGAATGCCCTGAAGCCTTGGGCTGTTTTTTATGTTCCTGCTGCGGTAATGAAGCGTTATTTATCCAGTGGGGAAAAAAAAAAAAACTTCTCTCCGACCGTGGCAGCAAAAGCACTTTCATTGATTTTCATGGAACTCAGTGCAGGAGCTTAATTTTAAATTTGGTGGGAAAAAGTTATATATACTGGATTGTTGCAGCATGAGATAAGGAACAATAATCCAACATATTTACTGTCGTCAAACCAGACAGGTAATCGTGACACTTGGTCACAGTGTCACAGTAACAGTCGCAGTGCTTTTCTATTCTATCAATTATTCTTGGACTCAAGAATAAATGTGACCTTGTCTGATTTTCTTCCACACATGGTGTTCAGCTGCTGTACAGTAAACATGTATTTACTTTTAACTACAATCAAAACAAATGTAAACGAAAAAAACTTTCTGGGAGTAAAACAGCGCTTTTGAAGTAATAGTTAAACAACATTTAGCTCGTGATGAACTGATGTGTCACTTAACTAAGCAATGACTGCCATCTAGAGGTATACTGCGATTAAGACACCATTACCGGTAACCTTTTGGTTTTCCTCATTTTTCTCAGTACTCACCGGTCATGGGGTTATACAGCTGGTTGGCCTCTAGGTCAGTAAAAGTTGAAAAGCAGCAAGGGCAGCGAAAGGAAGCTCGGTTGGTGTTATCTCGTTCATCCGTCTCAATGCGCCTTCGCATGTGATCCAATTTATACTTCACCACATTGACCATTACTCTGTAAAAAAAATAAAAATAAAATAAAAACCAATTCACATTGCATTGCATTATTGATAGAAGAGCAATCATATGATAAAAAACTGATTAACTACAATAGTGGCTGTGGATTAATCACGATTATCGTGACTAGTTGTAATGGTTTGATTACTACTATTAACAAATAAATATAGAGAATAAATATAGAAATATGTATTCCCTTTATTGCTGGTATGAAAAGACAAATAATAGCAGGTAGTTAAAAAAATATAAATGTTATACCCTATGCCCTGTGACTAATCCAAGTGATGGCAGTATTTATTATTATTTATTAAGTGTATAACTCAAAATTGAGCTCCATTAAGTTGATTGATTTCATTCTTTACTGTGGATCTTGATAGTGCCTTCAAAGAAAACTGAGCTTGTCAGCCTTAGACTCACTTATAGTTTAAGCCTAAGAAAACACGGGCAGGGTGCTGAGGTGTTATATGAGCCTTCAGGTGCTCTGGTGAAATGATCATGATGATCGACAGTATTTTGACCTCCCTGTAAGTGTTACCCAGTCCATCAATCAAAGGTTCAACTGTCAAAGTCTCACCTTCTTAAGATTTAACAAGATAATGTAAACACCTGGTGCCACTCAAGTTCTGAATGATTGGTAATACTTGTCTGAATGAGTGAACACAGTAAATACTACCACACACCTGTAATTGATGAAGTAGTAGTTGTGCCGTGTTGTCTTTCCGTCAGGCGCCGTCTCCACTCTCATGCGGCATTTGACAAACTTGTCGGCCTTTAACGTGTTGAGCACCGAGCGCAGCTGTTTGCGGTCGAACTTGAGGAGCTCCAGCATGTCCTCCTCCCGTACACATGGATTGCGGATGAGCACGTCCAGGGCCAAGGCGTGCTCCACTCCATAGAAACCCCTGACCACCTGCTTGGCTAACCGCTTCAGTGCTGCGGGAACCTCGGTCAGCAGCTCTGGTTCAATCATCTTTTGCTAAAGACAGAAATATAACTCTTTAAAAGGCCAATTAAAAAAAAACAAAACTAAGATTTGATCAAATTACAATTAATTTCATTTAAAATATGAACTTACACATTCTGTTAAACATAAGTTGGGCTGATAATATAGATTTTGATACCTAAATAAAAACTAGATTACGAATTAACAAATTAACTTGTAATCATCTGAGGAGAATGATAAGGTTATCATTTAAGGTTTAAAACTAAACCAAACTATTGATAATCTCTATTTTAACACTGGTAATGTGGTATTTAAATTAACAGCTAGCGGGTATCACAGGCTAACAGTCAGTCATGATGCTAACCGGCTGCTGTGCCTTCAGCTCCAAGAATGACAAACAGAAAAGATGCAGGGATTTTCCCTCCTCCATTTAAAAGTCACCCTGTGGCTTCTATTTACTGTGACTTTGATCTGGTCTACAGTTTCTGAAGCCGAACCTGCAGCCATGGATAAGTCGATAGATGGTACACACATTAAAACACACACGAGCCGGACTTCTTTAGGTTTTACCAACACGTTAGCACAACCACGCTCTAAAAAAATCGATTCGGAGTACACTTCCTCTTGTTTTTAAGCAAAACGGGACATTCAATACAATAAGAAACTTACTCTCGTTCAGCTAAAGAGTTAGCCACCACGCATTATTTTCAGAAAAAACCACAGGAAGTAAAATAGAGACCCAGGTCACTTAACAACCAATGAAACAACATGTTGTAAAACCAATACAATGGTCAATCAGCCAATCAGATTTGACTTATGGGCGGTGCTACTGTTGTTTTCTTCCGGGATGCTGCTGTCACAAAATGGCTTCCCTGGACAGAGTCAAAGTGCTCGTTTTAGGAGATTCTGGTGAGTAAAGTGACACGTGATTAAAAGATACAAATTTCCAACGTAACATATTTTAAAATGTTTAAACTTTGTCATGTGTTTTCCTTCCGTTTTCACGTAGGAGCTCCTATTGTAGCGTATTATGGTTGCAGTGGCATAGCTATTCAATGAAGTTGATATGTATTCCAACCGGCATTGGTTAATGGAGGTTATTTCTGGAAGATTAATGTTCTATTTTTTTCATTGTTATTCTGTTATTATGCTGTCGGTTCCGAGTGTGCAGCGATATAATCACAATAAAACTTCACATTTCCCATTCATTGTTTTGTGCAGGGGTTGGCAAATCTTCCCTGGTTCATCTACTCTGTCAAAATCAAGTATTGGGGAATCCATCCTGGACTGTTGGTTGCTCCGTGGATGTCCGGGTATGAATCTTTTCACAAAACTGCTATATCTATTTAACAACTAATAGATAGATAGCATTTTATTAATCCCTTGGGAGTTCCCTTAAATGATTAAAATAGAAACTATTGTAATTCAACAGGTTCATGACTATAAAGAGGGAACCCCAGAGGAGAAAACCTACTATACTGAACTGTGGGATGTTGGAGGATCTGTTGGCTGCGTCAGTAGTGTCAAAAGTACCAGAGCAGTTTTCTATAATTCAGTTAATGGTAAATATTACAGATTTATTTTCCTCCTACAAACCCTAAGGTATAACAACTATGTCATTGAAGTGTAATGATTTATATTCTGGTCCATATTAGGAATTATTTTGGTGCACGATTTGACAAATAAGAAGTCATCTCAGAATCTCTACCGTTGGTCTCTTGAAGCTTTGAACAGGGACTCATCTCCAACAGGAGTCATCGTTTCAAATGGGTGAGCAAAGAAAATCTTTTCAAAGCCTGACAGTTAGCTCGCTAAATAAAAATAACTTTTTTCTTTCTTTAAAGTGACTATGATAGAGAACAGTTTGCAGAGAACCCTGTGCCTCTGCTGCTTATTGGCACTAAGTTCGACCAGATACCAGACAACAAACGCAGTGACGTTCTGACCAGAACGGCCTTCCTTTCTGAAGACTTCAATGCAGAAGAGATCAACCTTGTATGTAAAATTCAAAACACCAACACCCAGTGTGGTTATCTTATTGAATGTACACTTTGACCATACACTGTGCTATTTAACCCTAACTCAAATATGACAAGATGATAGGTTATAAAAAGCAGTCAAATCAATTAAAAAAGAAAGAAATATATCTGCACAACGACAATAAAGAACATTCAATTCTATTTTGATCTAATTATATTTCTCAAATTAAATATTTCTGAAATACTTTAGGCAAATACCTTCCAGCAAATGTTACGATTAAAAAGAAACTCAAACGTATAGAGTATTTGGCGACATCATGTGGAAATTTTATGAAAGGGCACCTCATATCTGCGGTTTCATTCTAATAGAAGCCACCATAGCTTGCAAGTTTTACTGTAAGGTAAAGATAAAAAAAAACCGACTTGAATTTCTTTTCTGATTTGTGGCCTTTTTTTTTTTTTTTTTTTAAGGACTGCACTAACCCCAGATACCTTGCAGCAGGCACGTCAAATGCAGTGAAGTTGAGCAGGTTTTTTGATAAGGTAAGAAACACATTAATTTAATTTCAATGAAGTCTTAAATTGTCTTCTACATGCCACATTTTTCCCCACAGAAATATATATAAATATATATAATACATAGTAGGTATAATATATAAAAGCTAGATAATAAACTTAATGGACAGAACGTGATTTCTGTTAGGATAAATTATGTAATTTCCTTTGCTTTTAACAGGTAATTGAGAAGAGATATTTTACAAGGGATCCTAGTCAGGTATGTTTTTTTACTAAATGAAACTTTAACCTAAAATTATAGGTATAATTTTTGAGACCATCCCTCATTTTGACTTGTTGTTGTTTTTTACTTTTCAGATGACGGGCTTCACAGACAGAAAACGTTTCAACTTTAAAAGTTTGCACTACGACTGATGAAACATCAGACACACAAACTCTTTACACTTCTAACGTTCAATACTCTCACAATGGTATCACTGTCTTTTCCCACATTCCTCTTCAGTTCAAATACAAATTAAGATCAAATGAAACAGTGACCTAATGACCTTGGACCTAGATGACGTTCAAAAATCATATTATAGAATGAAGGAAGATGTCTACCTAGTTATGTGCACAGGAATTGCTTCAAAGGGAAATCGCTGTTTGTTATGTAAATTGGAAACATGTATACATATATGTTTATCTCCAAACATATTTTGGATTAAAAATAATTTGACTCGTGTCAGTTTTTAAATGCAACTTCAGTTTGTTTTTGGTATTTTATTGCTTGACATCTATATGTTGTGGAGAAATTGAAAGAGTATTATGGAAAAACCACTTTTTCTCAGACAGCATTTTTCTCTCTCTGCAAAGTTTTCTTGATCCATGGAAGAAAGTGACCTATCCTAGTGAAAACATGAGGAAACTTGGAATTATTGCAGTCTTCTCCATGCGTGAAGGCAGTTATTCCCACCAGTTTATCCTTACAGATTAGCGGTCCTCCAGAGTCACCCTGTTTGAGAAAGGAACATTGTTATCTACTGTGTGTATAAAGAGCACATCTGTTGTTTTTAAATGAACTGAAGTCATTAGTGGAACCATGAGTAACCATTACTAGAATTGCTGTTGGATTACCTGGCAGAGGCCTCCTTTGTTTTTGTCAAACCTGGTGCAGATCATGTGACTGCTGTTGAAGTAGATATTCCAAATCCATACACATTCATCCTTGAACTGAGTCCACTCTGTGGCCTCCTTCAGGACATCTGAGGAAGGTTCACTTCTGCCTTTTTGGCCCCAGCCAGCGACAACACAGGCGACCTTAGCTCGAATGGTCTTGTCTTTCACGGGTAACTTGATGGTCTGCACAAACTTGTTCAGTCGAGCTTTCTTTTCCAGCTGTGTGGGAGATGACAGAAGTTATTGACGGTGCAAATGTGTGAAAAACTGCATGGTTCACACCTTCTAGTTGAAGAACGGAAATCAAACATAACACCTGGGGCAAGAGTGAAATGAAACATTTCCACAACCCAGTCTTGCAGTACCTTGAGTAGCATAATATCATTATCAAACTTTCCATGGTACTTTGGATGAGCATAGAAGGCGGCCACTTGGATGGATTGTTGACTTTTTTCTTTATGTTTTAAGTTGTGGGCCCCGAGTACCACCGTCATGGGCTGCGTAGACTCAAGATTTCTGCAACATAAAGGAGGTGATGTGTAACATTTGATAAAAACAACAAAACAATGGGAATGAAGTCGAATGAATTAAAGAGGACACGTATTATAGTTCCTCAAAGTCTAAATCAGTGATCATCAACGTGAACCAAATCCAGCAATAGCAGTAGTTCAGCGGTTGGACACTGTTCTATTTTGCATGCGCAGTAATGAAGGTTAGGGTTAGGGAGGGCAGGTTGAATAAACCAACAGGAAACCAGGCAACTAATGGTGGTCCAGCTGCAGAAACTGCACCAGAAAATTATTATTGGTCAGGTCTTTAGGAGATCTAATAGTTTATACAAGACGTTATGAAGCTTGACATAAAAAACTTCAAATAATACAATGGTATGGAGTACTTACTGATACTAGGCATACGTTAAATACAGGCTGCTAAAGAGTTCTCTTACCACACAGAACATCACATAAAAACACAGATGTATATATTTATATTTATATATATGTTTACACAATAGATACAGTATGTAAGTAATGTTAACCAAAAACATGTCATTAACAACATCCTCTTCAACAGAACAAAATAAACTCACCCATTTTTACAGTGTGCTGCTGTCAGAACAAAGTCCTCCTGAACAAGGAGTCCACCACAGTTGTGTTTTCCACTGTACTGCAGTGAAGCCATGTAGGGCCTGGAATGAGGCTTTGAAACCTGACCATTCACTATGCCATCCTCAGTCTGTCCTGAAATGATAAAAACAAATCATAATGGGACTCAAGAAAAAACGCATTAGGAATTAAACCATTTTCCATCATTTTTTCATAAATCTTGGAGGGAATTATCCATCTTACCAGATGGGGAGCAGAGCTGAAAAGCCAACAAAATGCAGAATATGTGCATGATTGTCACCGCGTCAGTGTGCGTGTCAGTGTGCAGTTTGACTCAGACTGTGTCCCTGAACCACATTTTGTAGCCAACACCACAGCGGAAACCATGGGGGCAGGTGTGAAACGAGCCCCTGCTCTGCTCTGACACAGCCTTTCACATTTACCATGTTTTTTTACCTCAACATCAAACAGTGTTAATATCAGGTGATCAACTAAAGATGTACATTAATAATGAAAACATTTACTGATACCAACAGTTTAAAGTTCTTCACCGTGTTCACGTCTCCACGTCCATTCATTCTTTGTAGAAGCGCTGCCAAATAACATGTCACATTCATTCATTAAAACATTTATTATTTTTCATTTCATTCATTTATTTTATTTTTCACAAGTTAGTGTCTGTTAGGTTCATGAAAATGTTGAAACTCATGATGACGTAATACAGCTGTATTTCTTAATTTGTCCACTAGATGGGAGCATTTTCTGTGTAGAAACGAAAGATGTCTACTCTGGGTTTATTAACAAAACATAAATCGCTTGAATTATTTGTAATTCCCCAAACTCCATTATATGTAGTCGAGTACATTTTTAATTTAAAGATAAATATTTGAGTTTAAGTGTTTTGCGCTCATTTGACATCCGCTACACATTTACATCTGGGGCAGTTATAATTTTTTTTTTTTTTTTTTTTTTTTTAAAAATGGTAATTGTAGTTCTAAATTGTATCTCATTTTTGTTATCTATTTCTTTACCATTTTTTTCTATGTAGCTCTTGTTTTCCCTGAAATGTTTTTGCAGGAGAAGCTGTAACGCCAACAAATTCCTCCAGGGGCTCAAAAAAAGCATTTCTTAACCTGAATAAACATCATGTGACCAGGTGACATCACAGAGACGACTTGGTCCAAACAATAAAAACAGAATGGTCTGAATAGGTGAACAAACATTTGATACATTCATTTACACTTTGACCAGAACACAGACATATACCTGAGTATTTGATAGTATTTCGTAGTATTTCATAGTACAGTTCTTCCAGTAGAGATATCAAATATCTTGATCCTAAATCCTAGCCTTCATTTAAGCCCTTAACCACCAGTTGTGGTACTGATAGTTCAGCACAGGTAAACAGGATGTGGTGTCTGTTGTAACTGGATACATTTGGTAGGAGCAAATAAGTTGATATATTTCATATAAAATCAAACACCCTTCTTTCTTTAATAAAAGGTAGTTCAGTACAGTGATGAGAGGTTCCAGATTAGAAGTTAAAAACATTATTTACCAAGTTAAAAGCACCTTTGTAGTGAATCATTTCAAACAATCATTATTTTAAACAGCGTTGCAAATAATTCCCTTTGGTCACATTGTTGTCATTCTATTAATTACTCCTACATTCACTAAAAATGAAAAAAAAAACCTATTCTGATTTCTTCTTTGCCGTTCTCTTTCTGCAGCACCTACGAGTGCAGAACAAGCAGCATTTCAACGTCACCCACAGGACAGTCACAATCACCATGACCAAGAGGCCAATGACATCCAGAGAGTGGTACTGAATCCAGTTCAAATCGTGTGCAGCTACTCTGAGGTGTGAGGCCCCTTTGTGTCTCATGACAAACTCAGTCCAGAAAGCAGACAGGTCCACAGGTGAGAGCGGACGATCCAGGTGAACCTGAGACAGTTTCATCATCCGCTCTTTGAAACTACAGGAAGATATGGAAACAGGGGGTGAAATACGATCGAAACATCAATCCAACTGTAGTTGTTGTTACACATTGTGGAAAAATAAATCCAAAGCCATCTTTTAAACTCACTCACTCACTCAGAGCTGTACAACAACAACGTCATTTATATAAAGACGTCAGTGCAGTGAAGTTCAATGACAATTTGAAATGATATTGTCTCTCTACTAGTAAACAAGCTGGAAGTTTGTTGCAACCAGTTCAAATCCAGGAAAATCCAGTTCCTCTAAAATGTTCTTTCAGTTTTGAAGTAAGAAGAAGAAGAAGAACCGGAGATGGAGCTTCTGTGAAGCTTCAATCTTTTCTGAACAGGTTTTGGTTCAATTTGGGTTGGGTTGATTTTTATGTGTCAAGTTTTTTTTGGGCTCAATAAAGTATAAAGAAAATCTCTCTAATCTAAAGTATGTATTTAGATTTTAACAAAACAATCTGCTATGCCACAAAAATACATCGCTGTATATGTGACAAAAGGCACATCTTTAAGTGATCGTATCTTTGAGCACAGTGTAAATGAACTCGTCTCACCCTTTATCCTGGACGATGGTGTTCAGAGCAGTCACCAGTTCGTCTGAAGTCACATCATGGATGTTGAGCGACAGAGCTACACCGCGTGCTACGAAGCGTCGCACGTTCTCTCCCTGATCGCCAAACAGTGGGAACATCAACATGGGAACGCCGTTACAGATGCCCTCGTAGATCCCATGGGTGCCGCCGTGAGTCATGAAGACTTTAGCTTTGGGATGACCTGAGGAGAAACCGCTGCACTGTGAGCTCCAGGTAAAAGACATCAGGTACGTTGTCTAACTCCTGATCTAGTGTTGTTGATGAAATCACATCAGTACCAGCGTCACTGTCAGCCCTGATCTACGGAGCCTTTACAACGATTCACTGGCTTTTTACTGGAAGCCAACTTAAAGAAGTATCTGTGAAGTCCTACTGTGAGGATTGGTCCGACCAACTGAACACACCTAGGAGATCATTCTGTGGAAGCCACTTCATTAGCTTTACATTCTCAGGTACATTCTCCAGTGGAACTCCTGTGTATCTCCACAAAACCTGAAACACAAAATGTTCTGGTTATTTCAAACACCTGACGTTCAAACATTATAATGAATGATATAACATTATAATAAAGTATAAACATTTATAATGAAAAGAGAGGTCAGGGTTAGGGTCAGGGTCAGGACTAAATCACATGCTTCAAGGTGACCAGAGCCAGTTTCACTGATTGATATTATAGTTACCCTTTGTGGAATTTGTCGAAAGGCCTCTAAGAACTGCTTTGCTATCTCTGCTGGCATTTTGGACACCATTGAGCCCAAGGTAAAGATAATAAACCCATCGTCTCCGGAGCCTTCCACAAACTCGGCTAGGTCCTTCGTGAAACAGAAAAAAAAAAAGAAACAACAATTTACTCAAACTAAAAAGTTACTTTCAACTAAATTAACTAAGTTCACTAGCTAGCTAATGTTACAGGACATTGTAACATTAGCTAGCTAGCTAGCTAGGAAACCTGTTTTGTGTGGTGGTTACTTTTCTATAGGTGTTGATGAACTTTGATTCATTAATATTTAAAAAGTGAGGACAAACGATTCTTTGAAAGGCTTTTATATCTATGTAACGTGTTAGAAGCCGATCCTTTTGTTAAATAGAATTATGCACAGTCACAGTCACCCAGACTGACCTCTTAATCTCCAAGGAGAGCAAATAGACCTGTTCTTTCACAATGGTATTCCATAGATCTTGATGAATCATGATGACTGTGACACATTCAAGTCGGTAGGTAAATATAAAAGCCTTTCAAAGAATCGTTTGTCCTCACTCTTTAAATAATAATGAATCAAAGTTCATCAACGCCTATAGAAAAGTAACCACCACACAAAACAGGTTTCCTGTCGACCATTGTTTCAGGAAATGCTGATCTTTTTCCATATATTCTTACTGTGAAACTACTCATGTTCTGAACACGTCAAAGCCACTGCACAGATAAGAAAATCACTATTGTTTTGTCAAATATTAACTAACAATTAACACACAAAGCTCGTGCATGTGACCATGTTGGTGAGCGTCTGCATCTATGGCATGGTTTCACCTTAAACATTATCTGTATACTCACTGCTGGCAGAGGAGACCTCGACATACAGTTGATACCTCCGATGAAGACCATGTTAGGCATCACAGGTCTGGGCCATTCAAAAACAAAGTCGTATCGAAGCAGCCAGATGGCGCCGTGACTAATGAGGTCTGTGTAGGTCATGTCTTCCCTAAAATACTGCCTGACAAATTCATCGTAGTGACCGAAGAGTAAGTGACACATGTAGGTCTCCACAAAGTACATGAACATGTTGTTAACTCTCTGCGAAAAGGTCATGGCACTGGGATAACCAGAGTAGGTAGAAGGAACATAGGAAGGGGGAGAGGGGCACATGTTTGCCCTGGTATCCAGCTGACATGGAAGTCCTCGCAGAAAATAAACAGCTGGAATGGAAAAGACCCGAGCCAGGATGGAGCCGCAGGGAAGGAAGGGGTCCGTGAGCACGGCATCAAAGCCACTGTCCCTCAGTTGACTCATGAGCTGCTGGTTGTGGAGCAAACTCTCACAACCTCTCAGCTGCAGCTTGGTGAAGTTAACAAAGAGCTCCACACTCAACAACATGTCAGCGATTTGTGGTGGTTTTTGGAACACCCCATCAGACAGGCTCTTGAACGATCCTTCCATTTCAGCTTGAGTGAACTGCACCGGGTAGAACTGCTTCTTAAAGGACTCGGACTCGGACATCAACAGGCTGCTCTCAGGCACCAGAACCAAGACTTCATGACCTCTGTTAACAATCTCCTTCACCAGTATCTTCATACTCAGCCAGTGGCTCCCGTCCATCGGCACGACCAGAAGTTTTCCTCCCTGAACAGGCCGTATGCTGAGGCAGCACAGCCAAACTGTGCACGCCACGGCTGAAAACAGCACTTCCCTTCTCATGGCCTCTTCTTTGTCCTGCAAGATGGACCTTTCCAAGAGCTAACGTTCAGAGCTGCGAAGGAGTGGCTTCAAGTGTGGGTGTAAGACTGAGTGAGTGTGTGTGTGTGTGTTTATGTTCTGTAGGAAGTTCAGACTGCTTCCACAAGGGAGTCACAATGTAACCCGAGAATACAGAGAGAGAGAGGGGGAGAGAGAGAGAGAGAGAGAGAGAGAGACAACATCTACAAATCAGAGCAGGACCAAAGTTAATGTTTCTCTATTGTCCTGGTCTGAACAGAAGTGTTGTGTAACCCTGAACTGACATTTTGTGCTGCGTTTATTTTCTCACAAACATCAGATTTAGTAACACTTCACGTGCATCCGTTTAGTTTCTTCCTCATCTGTTTCCTGTTGCCTGCCAGTCTGGCTGTTTGTCTTGGCTGTTGTCTACAGTCTTACAAACAGATGTGCTTTTGAAAGGTATTGCGTGCGCACATGGTTAACTGCTCACTCTGTTGTCACGCACACACGTTCACCTCCAACCGATGCTGTAACAAGTAGCGTGCGAAGCAAGTTGTAATGTGACACCAACACCGTGAACACGGAGGGAGGTGATAACATCAACCAAACTATGTCATGAGTGGAATTTGACCTCTGGGGGTGCAGTCAGTGAGTCTGACACTTTATCTGACGTCTCCCTCAAATCCAGACGATTGTAGTGAAACCGTTGCTCCACTCCCTGCAGTAGCTCCGTGCACCCTAGGAGAGCCTGCGCCCCACTGCTTTAACTGCTCTGCCACAGGCTGCCAGAAAGACAAATCTTTCTGTAGGACGCACCAACACCAACAGCAACAGCAACTTCTGATGTTGCCGATCTACAACAGCTGTCTTGACTCTGTCACAAGACCAGGTTTTAGTTGCACAAAATGTGTCTTTTTTATCATCTGCTATGACTGAATCAAAAATGTAGGCTGGGTTTGGCCTTTCAACACTTTTACCTACTTTCCTTTTGTAAATGCAATATTTGCACAAGAAAAATCTCAAAGCAGCACAATGCAAACCAGGTGTAAGCTGACAAGTTGGTTCCTGTCGGCTGTACATGCCTGCACCACAGATTTAAAGCCATAATTAAATTCACATAAACAACACACCTCAACATTTGTTTCTATTTAAATGCACAAATCTGTTCAATTTCTCATCAAACATCCAAAAACAAGACAAAAACATGTTTGATCCAAAGTTCTGGTACACAATAGAGTTGATCAAAACTAATTATTTTTTACACCCGAGCAAAAACTAGAATTTGTTTCCTGTGAGAATTTTGTTGCACATTTCTGATGCATTCACAGGATTATGGTCTACGTTTAAATATAAGTCTTTTTGCCCGTGAAAACCAGGCAGTGCTGCTACTGTATGACACTGCACATATGACAGAAAATGATGTAACTGGAGGTCACGCATAAAACTGTTAAACAGTCACATGAACTGATAAAACAAGAATTATCAGCGTGAATTTCTGTCCTCAGAGTCTGAAGCAGCCACACCCTGGAAACAGGTTGGCTCCTGATATCAGTCATAACAGTTGACAACAAAGTGAAGTCTGTGTCTATATATATATATCAAATCAAACTGTATTGGTATGGCACATGAGGTATAATGTGTATATATTATACAGGCATAATATATATAAAGTATATACTCAACCTAAACAATATGGGTATTGCTATATCCTTTGTAATGTGATTAATAACATTTTTCTCTACATATCCTCCATTTGAGTCTACAATTACTCCAGTGGTGTTTCCTTCAGATAATTCCTTCTTTGACGAATATTCTTTTGAGGAACATTCGTAAAAAACAGGCCAAAGTCTTTGGACTGAAATGTTCTGTTGTTCGGAGCTAGATCAAAATAAGTTGCTAAGCTTCAGCAATTTCAACCGTTTCACATTTACGTTTAGATATTAAAAAATACTATGTTTGCACTAAATTAAAAACGGTTCACCCTGTCAATTAACATGTCACACAGCTCAGTTCTTGAAAGACATGTTCCAACATGTTTAAGTTGTTAAAATCAAACAACTTTGGAATTGAAAACCTCTTGTCTCAGAAACTTTTTGACTTACCCTTGTAGGTAGCGAGGGCGACGCCAAAATTAAACGGTTTGGGTTCTTTTTCGAAATGGCCGACTTCCGGTTGCTTATTCCTTCAACAGACCTTTTTTCTTCGTCGTAACTACTTCAACGAGTGTCTGGTTCTGGATTACTTCACTGGACGTTAACGTGCCGGTTGAAATGTTGTTTATTTAGTTTAAGATTTTTAACTAAATGTTAGCGAAAATGACTCAAGAGCTGCCAAAAGAATCCTTAATTTTCAGTAGCTGTAGAAACAACCTGCACCTGTCTTTTCAAGTCGAACTCCCTATAATAACCACTGGGTGGCAGCAGAGTCGTACAAACCGGATCAGTCTTTACACTGCCGCGGCGTCTGACCTTTTGTTGTTTCATTTGTTTGGTCAGAACTGCTAAGTCAGTCGGTCTCCATGGTATTAAAGTATCTCAGTCACAGTCAGTATTTCACCTGACTTAAACACCGACAGTCTAGATCTTCTAGCTGTAATGTAGTAAAGTGTGACAGACACCAACTTACTACCGTTTTTATCTAAATATATCCCTAAATTTAAGAAAAGAAACACATGTTAAACTTCAGTGTCATCTCTACAGAATTTCAGTTCTGATCCTTTTGTCTGCACCAGTTTGTAAAGTAGAGCCGATGTATTACTGTATACATGTACACACACACGTGCAGTACAGGTCTTCAAATACAATAAAAATAAAAATACACTTCATTGCAGTAAGGTCTGGGTTCATCTCCTCCTGTTTGGGAACCACTGTCTAAGCCAACGGTTCTCAAGCAGGGGTATGCGTACCACCAATGGCACCTGGGCTTCTGCTAGTACGAGGTTTAGATTGTGCTGGCGTTGGTGCTGGCGTTGGTGCTGGCGTTGGTGCGTCTTTGTTGTACACTGTGGTCTAATAAACAGGACAACAATCGTCTGAGGTACTGAGAAGTACAACACAGGCCTGTACTGCTGTGTGGTAGTACTGGTCATACTGGTAGTATTTTGAGGGAGTACGGTTGGTCCTGGTATGGGGCACAAGAACTTTATTTCCAAAGTGATATCTTTTTCACATCATTTCTGGTCCAACCTTGGCTGAACCAGTGAGTGTGCTCCACTGCAGCCACATCTTTCTGCCCCCCTCCCTCATAAATGTGTTTCCTCGATCATCCACTGCTTCACACCGTCGCCACGAACAAACGGCAGTAACAGTGACATCAAGCCTCTGGCTCGTCTCCATGGTGAAGAGCGCAGAGACCTCAGCAGCAGATCCTCGGCTCTGACCCCGTGTGCGGACGCGCTCCGACCTTGGAGGAGCAGAGCGGAGGGTTTTGCGCACGGAGAGCGCACAGCTCCCGGACTCACTGCAGCCGTGTCACCGGGTTATCGGCTCATTCGGCTGCGGGCTCTCCTCCTGTTGGCAGCGGTGACTCGGACTGGACAGAAGAATCGACTCACGGCACTTTAGGTTCGATTTGATCCTCAGTTTGGAGGAGTAATTCCGGGACCATTCTCCCAGCATCCCCAGCCACGGAGAGGCTGGACGGGTTCTCTGTACAATGAGCCAGTGACGGACTGTCTTTATCACACGGTAAGAAATCTCTCTTTCACACCGGGTGAAAAGCAAAGTTGTAGTAAATCGCGCACCGGAAGTCGCGGCGCTCTAACCCGTGGATGACTGTTTCACACAGGTGAGCACAGAGATGTTCGTGCCTCTGTCCCTGTCCCTGCCTCTGTCCCTGTCTCTGCCTCTGCCTCACTCCGTCAGAGAGGATCTGAACTGCGCTCATCGTGAATAAGTCGAGAAGTGGCCGAAGATGAAAACGCTGCAGACGGTTCTGGTTCTGTCCCTGCTGTACCAGGTGAGCTGCTTTTACTAAGACTTTATTAACAGTCCAGTTATAACCAACTGACACGGGGTTTCAACCACCACTGATTATTCAGTCGACGTCAACTTGAAACTAAACTGTTATTTGATCAAATCTGACTCAATTTAATGAAGGTTTTTATACAAAAACACTACTATAGAATGAACGGAATATTTTCCTTCATTAACTTGATTTCTTGACACAGTATTAAACACCTGGGCTTTAATTTAAAAATGAGAGACTAATGTAGCTGTCAACAAACCTGATTTATTTACAACATACAACTTTATTTTAGTCATTTTAATTATATTATTTAATATCAAGTCTTGTGTTTTTTCTCTGCACGTCTTTATGATTAGAGTGAAATTAAATTCTGATATTTTATTATATTATATTTTTAGTGCTGTGTGTGTGTGTGTGTGTGTGTGTGTTCTGCTGCAGGCCGTGGTTCACCTCACACCTACATCAACCTGATCATCAGCCACTGTTAGTGTTATTTGTACAGGTTTTTACCCTCACGTTCCAAACTAATCCCACAGTTTTGATGTTGGTCAGTGTGAAACTGAGGAGAAAAAAGATAAAACTGCAACATTTGAAAGTCCAGCTCATGAGACCAGGGAAACTTTTGATATTCAATCAGACGTAATCCTCCACTGCAGTTCTGAACGGAGAAGAAGCTCTCCCTCAGAAAGACGAGGAGCTGGGGGGGGGGGGCTGGGGGGGGGGGGGGAAAAAAGGGTGGAACAAAGGGGGGGGTT